TTTTTTTTTTTTTTTTTTATTTAAATTTAGTATTTTTTATTTTACTTCTAATTTCTAACTTGCACATGAAACATTTTTTTTACATAATAAAAATATTAATAAATTAAATAATATTTTATGTCAATTAAGTCGTCCTGCGCGTGAATACCCTATAACTATTGATAAAAAAATAAAAATAAAAACTAGATGACAAATATTTAACATCATTACACATGAAACCTTACTGGTTTATTAATATACTAGTAAATATAAAGATAAACAAACCAAAAAATATATAAGAGTGCAAATACCATAAAAAAATAAAAATAAACAAAACCCGCGGACGGGCCAATTTGGCCCGCGGGCTAATGCGGGCGGGCCACGGGCTATGTATTTTCCAGCCCGTAGAAATGCGGGTCATTTTGGCCCGCCCCGTTTGGACCGCGGGCCGGGCCAGAGCGGCCCGTTTGACAGTGCTAGTTGTGGCGGTCGCGGACGGGGCACCCCGCCATGACTACGCCCACTACGTCCACCATGAAACCCCCCGCGCATGCCCTGGTCGCCGGTGTCATGGTTCGTATGCACCCCCTCCATCAAGGTATGCATCGCAAGACGCATCTCCTCGAACTGTTGGAAGTTCTGCAAAACGATCGCCCATCCCTTGAATCTGATCGTCGTCCGTATCAATCGGCGTTGATGGCGTCTTCTTGCCATACATTTGCAACATCCCTTCTCCTCAGCCGCATCACTAATCGTTGTTGGTCTCTGAAAACTAACTGATGTGGATGACAAAGGGACTATATGAGATAACTATCTCGATAAAACTCACAAAATACCAGATGGATTCTTCATCAAAACTACCGATTGAGTTTGATGCAAGAAAGAGAATAAATAGAGTTCATAATCTTCCCTAACTTGCTAGACAATTAAATAAATATTCTTCTAATCAACTAAACAAGATAAATAATAATAATAATAATAATAATAATAATAATAATAATAATAATAATAATAATAATAATAATAATAATATAATAATAATAATAATAATGCAACTTAAATAATCAAATTAACGTCGAAAGTCGATGGTATTCGTCCAAAAAAAAAAAGAAAAAAACCATCTCGAGCTCGTCTCCATCACCTTCACCCTAAACGTGACAAGATCCGATTTCTACTGTATAGAGAGGGTCTATATTGTCCGATCTCCGGAAAAACGATCTGTACTATTGCAGTTTGAAAGAAATGCGCGACACTTCCATTAAAAGGTTAACCATCCCGTGCGGTTTAGTATATATAAGTGTTGCTTGCATTGCTCTGTTCAGTTAGAGGCAGCTAACTGAATTGATTATCTATTGTTACAGCAAATCCATAACAATTTCTTGTTTATATGGTCAATTAGCCCTCTAATTGATTTACCTGCTCTTACATCCGGCTTAATTATATTATCATCATTAGTACAATTTTCCTCTAAAACCAATGTGGTTGTCCTTAGATTGTTACAGTTTTCAAGATTTCTTATTAAACATTGCTTTTATTATTATTATTATTATTATTTCTTTAGAATTATGATGTCCTTAATTGCCTTTACTCTTCTCTTTTTTCTTTTTTCTTTTTGTGGTCTTCGATTTGTTCGCATCCCACGAGTGCTTTAAGTGCCAAAAGTTTCAATGTCTCATATACTAGCTAGTGCACAAAAATCTTATTCATTATTAATTGTAAAAAATCAAAATGTACCCATCATTCTCTATACAATAGTATTTTTTTACATAAATTCTATGGGGCTCGCACATGGTTTCTTTTGGAGTCATCATGAATTGATATATTAAAGTAGGGAATACTACTGTCTCGTTTCGTTATAGTATCATCCGATCGGGCGTTTTAACATTATTTATTTTATCTAACTGCATATCTTATCTAATTGCATGTTGATCAAACTGTTAAAATACCCGACAAAATGGTGTTTCAACATCATCTATCTTATCTAACTGCTTTCAACATCATCTATCTTATCTAACTGCAAGTTGATCAAACTGTTAAAACACCCGACAGAATGGTATCATAACAGAACCAGAACATTTCTCTTTAAAATATATTCCAATTGTATTTTTTTTATGGGAATATTATTTCTTTATAATTATATCACACCACAGCAAAATTGATATTTTGTATTCTATTGATAAATACTACTACGTAATAATTAATAATTACAATCACTGCTTTTTTTACATATATAGTCAACGACCTTATCCCAAAGATTAAGACTTGAAACCCACAAAAGTGACCCGACCCTACCACTTGATATTCTTTAAAGAAAAAGAGCCCAACAAAAAAAAAAAGTGAAAAAGAAACAAAAAAAAAGGTGCAACCGACCCAAGGTTAGGCCCAACCAAGCTTGGGCCAAGCTCCAGCCCAAGGCCCGACTCACATTATCCTTCCTAAGCAATACACCTCATGGAGTAAGTGGAAACCGCGGAATCGAGGCCCGAACAGGCCCTTTCCAAGCCCGGATGATCGCTCTCAAGCCCGTAATCGAGCGTCCCCCGGCTCTCCATCTCCTCGTCAAACTCGCTCACGAACTCCGGCATCTCAAACCCTATCCTCCTCACATAATCCCACAAAAACTCCACCCTGTTAACGTACTTCACCTTCCCGTACAACCTGTTCCAATCAATTGATCCCCAATTAGCGACCCAATCGGTTAATCAACGCTAAAACACGATTAATTCAACCAATCAATTAGTTAATTACCCGCCGCCGGAGGCGAACAGCACGCGGCCGAGGGTGGCGAGGAAGAGTCGGGACTGGAGGCCCGGGTGGAGGAAGTAAAACGTGTCCAGATTCTCCCAGACCTTGACCGGGACGGCGTCGTATATGGACCTCAGGGCCGATATTCCGGCGAAGTTTTCGGCCCGGTTCACCTCCGTGTTGACGTAAACCACCGAGAACCGCCGGCCCTCCAATCCCGGAAAAATCTCGGCCTCCAGGTACTTCTTCAGGGCGTCCACGCTGACGAGCCTCGCTGCACATAATTAGAAAGAGAATTAGTTTAACAACAAAAATCTGATTATACTTATAATAATTGAATTTGGATTTTGATTTTCTTCTTACCGGGAAAGTATTTTCCGATGATGCGGAGGATGGGGCGGCCGCGCTTGTCCCGGCCTTGGATCTTGAAGATTCCGAGCTTCCTGATGAGCTTATCCTGTTCGGATTGGGAGAGTATGGTGGATATCATGGTGGGAGTATGAATGAATATGATTATTCGTGTGTTCTTCTTTGTGATTTTTAGGAGGGGTTGGATTTTCGGTTTTTAAATAGAGATTTTGAGGGTGGGGATAATATTAAATAATAAATAAATAAATATTTTAAATAAAGAAAACAGGAGATTGAGGAGCGTTAGGAGTAGATTAATAGGATGATTACGAGTGAAACTGTTCCGAACGTAGTATTCCGTTAGGAGATAATGCTCCCCTAACCACCTTGGTTCACACGTGTTACTATGTTCACCGCTTACGTGATATGCATATATTGGTGATGTTCAAAAAAATACATTACCAATATGTGACCATATTACCATGTGGCTACCGTGGGTAGGAGAGCATTTCTCTTCCGTTAGGATTATAACTGCTAGATCAACTATCTTTACGATTATATGATAATCTAATGATTATAAATTTCGAATAAATTGTTCCGTAATGAGACTGTAATATTTCTCGTGAATATATTATGTAATTTGGTTTTTTTTTTTTTTTTAATAATTTTGGGAGAGTTTTTATCCAGTATTGGGCTTTGGGAATAAGGGAGGGTATATTCTGAGAATCTCCCTTCTATAATTGGACAACAGTGAAGAGGAAGGCAGAGAGATGAGACAAACAGCCGCAGTTAATGCCACGTTTGTCGAAGACCTCCGTCGAGACCATATCTCCTTACCGTTAACTAACGACGGCAGCATCGTAGCATTATTTACTATTTTTGTTTTCTTGTTTGCATCTTCGTGATTAATAATAGTTAACATATATTTGCAAAAAAAAAAAAAATAATAATAGTTAACATACTTGTACTTATTTTATTATTTTTTTTTCATATATTAATTTTAATTTTTATGTCTCAATCTTGTTATCTATATACTCTTCATACTATTTATTTATCTCCATAAAACATCTTTGTAATAAACATACTATTACAACGCCCGTGAATTATACTGATGTTCGATAAAATAAAATTTCAAATTGTGCAAAAAATATTAAAATGAAATGAAATTATATTTTCATTGTGAAAATAAAAATTTATAAATAGTTAATATAAAAGTAAAATAACTTGTAAAATCATTTTGAATCCTAAAAAGTATTTTGTACGAAATATTATTTATTTATTTAAGATATATTCATTTATTTCAAAGTTAGATAGAATAATTAATTTTATTAACATATGCTGTGAATAACACAGATGCATGAAAAAAAAAGTTGTATCAAAATAAAGAAGTAAAGAAATTTTTATAATTATAATAGAACAATAAAAAATAAAATATACAACTAATAATTGATAAACTAACAAAGTTAATTAACTAAAATGATATGTGTTTTACACTTGATCTAAATAACATTTTTTTTTTATTATCTACAACTCAATAATTTTATTCTTGAATCAATTTATTTTTATTTTTTTTTTCTAAAACGATAGGAAATACTCATTGAAAACAATTCAAATGTCTTACAAATCATGGAATCAACTGATCCCATAGGAATAATACACAATGAGAGGCACACACAGGTGCTCTAAATAACAACAATAAAACCCAAACAAAGCAAAATAGACCATAATCCCAGCAAGATAGCTCAAACTCCCTAGATCCTCATGCAGCAGCCAATACTAGCTAGAACAACAGAGGCCAAATAGTCACAATGCATCCACTTGCTACCAATAAGCACAAAGACCAGCTACCAAAATAGCAGAGAACCTGACAGATAAACCACTGAACTTCCCAAGAAGACCTAGCCATCTCCCAGAACCTGCATTATACCTTAATCCCTTTGCTGGATTGAAATTCATGCCAGTCCCTCACAGCACCATCAACCACTGCTTTGACTGGCATCCAAATATTTTGAAATTTCCATAGGTTCCTCGATTTCCACAGCCACCAGAGAAGGTAAGTAGAGAGTTGAATCCTCTCCTCTGAAATGGCCTTTTTATCCACAGAACAGATATTATTCCACCACATTTTAAAGCTATGAACATTAATCCCCGGGCAGTCCCATTGAACTGGAGCTAATTTCCACATGAGTTTGGCTCTCTCGCACTGAAAGAATAAATGTTCAACCGATTCCTGCTCTTCTCCACAACAGCAACAAAGACCATCCACCTTCATCCCCCTTGCCTTCAGGTTATCACAGGTAGGTAAAGCATTGTTATAGCATTTCCAAACAAAATGCTTTAACTTACCTTTAACATTCAAAGCCCAACTTCTTCTTCTAACCTTTTTTTTCCAGTCCAGCAGTTTTGCTTCCCTCTGCCACATCCAGCTCTCGAAACTTATTGATAATGAAATTAGAGTAAGCACTGGCCACAGAGAATAAACCTTTAGGATCCAGAGTCCAAATCCACCTGTCCTTAGTCCTACTTTGATTCAAACTGACTTGCATAATTTTTTCACTGTCAGAAGGAGTGAAATAGGCTCTCAACAGGTCAAAGTTCCATCTTCTCCCATGTTCCTCCATAAGCTCTTTCACCCAAACTAACTGGTTGTTACTTCTTTTCAACAGCTCACTTCCACCAGAATTAGTGCCAACTAACCAGGGGTCATCCCAAATGTTTGTAGAGCAGCCATCACCTACCTGCACTTTGAAGAATTGTCTGTATTTATCCCTGACCTTCATCCAATTAGACCACATCCAGGAGGCAGAACTAGCACAAGGAGCTTGGAGAATAGAGCTCTTTGGAAAATACTTACCTTTTAGGACTTTACTTACTAGAAGATTAGGCATAGTAAGTATTCTCCAAATCTGCTTTAGTATAAGGGCCTCATTAAACAAGCAAATATCTTTAAACCCTAGTCCTCCCACCTCTTTTGGTAAGGTGATAGCATTCCAGGCCTTCCAGTGCATACCCCCTTTGTGCTGCTCTCCTTTTCCCCACCAAAATTCTGCACTAAGTCTTACAATCTCTTTACAGAGACTTTTTGGAAGGAAAACAAGACATAGAGAAGACAGGAAGGGAGTCAATCACAGCTTTCAACAGAACCTCTTTCCCAGCACATGATAAGAATCTGTTTTTCCAGCTCACTAGCTTCTTCTGGACAGCTTCAAGAATAAAGGAAAAGGCCTCTTTTTTAGACTTCCCTATGCCTAATGGCAACCCCAAATACCTCGAGGAGGCCTGGGCTTGGATACCATTCAGCACCTGGCAGATCTCCCTTTTCAAAGTAGAAGTGCAGTTTTTGCTGAAGAAAATAGATGATTTATGCCAGTTGACCTTTTGCCCAGTGAATTTCCTGTACTTATTCAACACAGATAACAGTCTACAAGCATGGCCACGGTCAGCAGCACAGAAAACAAGGAGATCATCAACAAAAAGCAGGTGGGTGACCTGATGGCTCTTTTTGGCAATTTTAATACCTTTGAAGGAACCCTGACCCACTTCAAAATTCAAAAGTTTAGAAAACAGCTCAGAAACAAGAATAAAAAGGTAAGGGGACAAAGGGTCCCCTTGCCTAATCTCCCGAGAAGCTGAAATAAAGCCCTTCATTTCCCCATTAATGTTGAAAGAGAAGGATGATGAAGACACACAAGCCATAACCCACTGAACAAATTTACTATGGAACCCCAGCTTGGACATGATTTTAGAAATACAATTCCACTCAATTCTATCGTAAGCCTTCTCCATATCAAGCTTAATAGCCATGTACCCCTTTATGCCAGATCTATGTCTATTAAGTAAATGAATAACCTCTTGAGCCACTATTACATTATCTAGCAGATACCTCCCCGGAATAAAAGCAGCTTGATTAGGGCTCACACAAGAGTTAAGGCAAGATTTTAATCTGACAGTAAGGATTTTAGAGATGATTTTGTAAGAGACTCCACAAAGGCTGATAGGCCTGAACTGACTAAGTGAAGTGGGATTAATACATTTAGGCACCAGGGTTATAAGAGTGTGGTTCCAGTTTTTAAGCATGATACCAGAGGAGAAAAAGCTGAAGATAGCAGCACACAAGTCATGTTTAATAACATCCCAAAAAAATTAAAAGAAAAGAGGAGGCATACCATCTTGCCCCGGGGCTTTGCTTGCATCCATGCTGAACAGTGCCTTTTTAATTTCATCTTCAGATACAGGAGCCACTAAGGTTTGGTTCATCTCCTCAGAAATAGTAGGAGAAATCAGTTGGAGCAATTCATTCTCACCTTCAGAAAACTCAGTGGCAAACAACTTCTTATAGAATGCACATATACAACTTTCAATCTCCACTTTGGATTTACAAAGCTTACCCTCCTCATCAATCAGGTTAGTGATAGCATTTGCATTTCTTCTCTGAAGTGTCATAGCATGGAAAAATTTGGTGTTAGAGTCACATTCTTTCAACCATTTGATCCTCGCCTTTTGCTGCCAGAACTCCTCCTCTTTCTTGTTAGCTCTATGGAGATCAGACCTCATTTTATTCCACTCTCCCCAGTCCCTTGTCTCTCCTTGTTTACTCATCAGCTCCAACTTCTCTGAGATCTCCATTCTTTCCTCCTCATTTTTTGTTTTGAAAAATCTGCTCCACTTGAGTAAAGCAACTCTGGTTTCTTTAATTTTTTCATGAACCTGGAACATGGGAGTTCCTGATTTAGGAATGTCCCAAGCTTGCTGAACAATTGCCTTAACCTCAGCCATCTGAATCCACCTCTTATCAAAATAGAACCTTCTCTTAAAACACTGTTCTGAAACCAGGTCATCAGAAAGCACTAGGAGCCTGTGATCTGATGAACTTCTGTAAGCATTTTCTACAGATGCACTGGGATTTTGAGCCAACCACTCGAAAGAAGCAAACACTCTATCAATCTTGGCCTCAATGAAATCTGACCCTTCCCTGTTATTAGTCCATGTAAATCCATGCCCAGCCATCTTTATTTCAAGCATCTCCATCCTGGCAATGAATTGATTGAAGCCTCTACATTTAGCTTCAGACTTAGGCCTGCCCCCTAGCTTCTCACCATTCTCCCTGATCTCATTCCAATCACCACCAAGGATCCATTTGGT